AAATTTTCCTTTTCGAATGCAAATATTCCTTTAGCATGATTTGTCTTACAGAAACTTGGTGTTCTGACGAAAATTCTTATACAAATTCAAACCTCCTAATCCCTAATTATAATCTTATTTCTTATGAAAGAAAAGCTAACAAAAGAGGAGGTGGAATAATAACCAACATCCATAATGACTTAAACACAAAAATTAGAAATGATCTTTCTATTTCTGATTCAAATAGTGAGGTCTTTACAGTTGAAGTCATTAATGATACTACAAAAAATCTCTTAATATCCTCTTGTTATAGACCGCCCGATGGAGATATTATAATGTTTTCAAGTTTTATGAAACAAATATATACAACAAGCAATGTTGAACATAAAAGGCTATTCTGTATTGGTGACATGAACATAAATTACCTAAGCTATCATGAACACGCTAATACCAAAATTTTTTTCGATGATATGATACAACATTACATTTTCCCAATTATAAACAAACCCACCCGGGTAACTCCCACCTCAATTACAGCTATTGACAATATATTGACAAATTCAATTCAAGATCCATCCTTAAAAGTAGGAATAATTAAAACGGATATATCTGACCACTTCCCAATTTACTTCTCACTATCACAACAAGCAACACGTGTCAATAACTTGAAAATAAAAATCATCAAAAGAAGCATAAATAAATTCTCGACCCAAAAACTAAAAGACTCACTAGCGGTAGTAAATTGGTCAAAAATATATCATGAATGTAACCTCGGACACACAAATTCCGCTTACAATAATTTTATAAATATTTTCCTAAATCTCTACAATAAACATTTTCCAAAGGTCGAAAAAGAAATTAAAGCAAAATACCTAACCACTCCATGGATTACCCAAGGAATAAGAAAATCGTCAAAACAAAAACAAAAACTCTACATAAAATATCTAAAAAATAGAAACCATTTTAATTTGTCTAAGTATAAACAATATAAAAATCTATTTGAAAAAATAAAATTAAAATCCAAAAAACTATATTTTTCAAAGCAAATACAAAAATTTAAAGGAGATAATAAAAAAATCTGGGATATTATAAAAGAAATAATTGGTAAAGATAAAAAAAACTCGAACCAACTACCTCCAAAAGTTCTCATAAGTGAAAAAGAGTTTAATAATAAAAATATTATCTCTGAAAAATTTAACAAATACTTTGCAAGTATAGGTTCCAAACTCGCCTCTAAAATTCAACCTACAAACAATTCATTTGAGAATTACATCGAGGACTCTCGTTGCTCCCTAGTTTTTAAAGAACTAGAATACGAAGAACTTGAAACAGCAATTAAAACATTAAAAATTAACAAAGGTCCAGGTATCGACAATATCCCAGCCAATATTATTTTGAATGTCTTCCCAGAAATAAGTAAACCCATTTTTCAAATATTTAACTCTTCAATAATTACAGGAATTGTACCCGACTATTTAAAAATAGCTAAAATTATTCCTATCTATAAATCCGGAGATACATCTTTCTTAAATAATTACAGACCAATATCAATCCTTCCCGTATTTTCAAAACTGCTCGAACGAATAATCTACAATCGTTTATATAAATACCTAACCACAAACAAAATCCTGAATGAAAACCAATATGGTTTTCAAACTCAGCACTCGACAGAGCATGCTATCGTAGACCTCGTCAATAGAATTAGTGAATCAATCTATGAAAAGAAGTTCGTATTAGGAGTCTTTGTAGACTTGTCAAAAGCGTTCGACACAATAAATCATGAAATCCTACTAAAAAAGTTGGAAAAATACGGATTAAAAAACCATACACTGCAGTGGTTTAAAAGTTACCTGTATAACAGACAACAATGTCTTATTACAGATGATAATTACCACAGTAAATTATTAAAATTAACTTGTGGTGTTCCTCAAGGCTCGATTCTTGCTCCTCTTTTGTTCCTAATCTATATAAACAACCTTCCAAAAGTTTCTAGCAAACTTGAATTTATAATGTTTGCAGACGATACAAATTTATTTTACTCTTCGACAAACATCAAGGATCTGTATGATAATGTAAACATAGAACTCCAAAAATTAAATATATGGTTTAAAACAAATAAGTTATCGCTAAACATAGAAAAAACAAAATACACTTTATTTCACTCAAACCAACAAAGAAACACACTACCAAATATTCTACCCTCTCTAAAAATAGAAAATATAGTAATTGAGAGAACTCACGAAACTAAATTTTTAGGAGTTATAATTGATGAAAATTTATCTTGGAAAAGTCACATAAATGCTTTAAACACTAAAATATCAAAAAACATAGGTCTACTTTATAAAGCAAAACCTATGCTGTCGCAAAGTAATTTAAAACTTATATATTTCTCTTTTATACACAGCTACCTCATATATGCGAATATAGCTTGGGCGAGTACGCATATAACCAAATTGAAAACTTTATATCGACGTCAGAAACATGCTGTTAGACTTATCTACCATAAAGACAAATTTACACACACTGAACCCTTATTTAAAGAAATGAATGTGCTTAATATTTATCAAATTAATATTTACCAAAATATATTGTTTATGCTAAAATTTAAATTAGGTCAAGTACCAAACCATTTTTTAAATAACTTTTTTATAAATAACGTTAATAAATATAACACAAGAGAAAAAGGAAACTTTATTACACCTTTCAAAAAAACAAAACTTTCCCAGTTCTCAATTTCATATCGGGGTCCTTATTTATACAACAAACTAGTAACTAAAAATAAATCAATCTGCAATCTAGATTCAATTTGCAATCAAAATTTCTTGAAAAAAAAGTTAAAAAATCTGATACTGAATCTAAACAGATACTCAGAATGCTTTTAAGACTATAAATTAAAATACATATATATCAACTACAAAGTGAACTGACTCGTTTATGTGTATTATCTAAATGAATCTTTTTTTTCTTCTCAAATTTCTCAAACAATATATCAAAATGTGTTTATTACACACAAAAAAAACACTGGTTTTTTTCTTATCAAGTTTAGTTATTATGCTGCTAGTTATGTCTAATATTTTATACTGAGCTTATTTTGAGTTTATTTTTTATTATGAGCTAAATTTAAAGAATATATAAACATAGTTGTACTTAATATATAATTATATTTAACATAATCATAATAATATATCAAACACATTGTAAGGGCTTCGTGATAAGATCATTACGATCTTCTTGAAGTCCGGCCTGTACTATTTAATTATAAATTTCACTATATATATTTTGACTCACGAGACTTGTAAATATTAATTTACGAAACTTGTAAATGTTATATGTACGGCAAATATATGAATAAAAAAAAAAAAAAAAAAAAAAAAATCACTAATTTTTGCAATTCTTTTTTCAATAATAATTTTTTTTAGCAATCTTACATTTTTGGCACGAGCAGATGCAAATTTACGCTGTGCTGTTTTAATTTTTTTTTTTTTTTAAAGTTGGAACTGCTCCTCCTGTTTTAGCCTAACACTCATAGTCTCTAATTGAGAACTTAATGAGTTACAATGTGTGTTGAGAGCCCTATTTTTAGAATTTAAATCTGTAATTTCAGCTTCCAACTTAAATACTTGCATTTTAAATTTTTCTATTTGCTCCATATTTGTTTTATTTTCAGAAGTTAATTGATCAATTTGATTCAGTAGCTCCTGACTGTTATTTAAAGTGAAAAAGTCATCTGCATCTGCTGATTTTTTTTTTTTGGGTGGAGCTTGCGACAGTTGCATTTTAAAAAATTCTTCGTTTTTTATAGCTTTAAAATTTTTTTTATATTTCTTTTTTTGTCGTGTTAACTTTAGGCACATTTTATCAAACTCGTCATTACTAGGCATATCAAAATCAAATGGCAAAAGAAAACTCATAAAACTAAATAAATCACTTCTTATTTTAAAGACTGTCATTAAAATGGAAATGACATTGTTACTGATCTTATCTGTCCTAATTAATCGCTTAACAAAAGGAAAGTTACACCTATCTTCCCAACCATTTTTCCATCCAATATGTTGTTTTAGAATTTCCCTCTCAGTTGAATACATAGTTATCAAAATAATATTGACTTATTAATCAATATAATAAAAACAAATAAAATAATATTAATTAACAAATATATGCACAAGATAAAAGTGGATTTAACAACTTATCTGATATTAGTTTGATAATCCAAAGAGAAAAATTCCGCGTAACTTTGTTTACTTTATACTTCAAAAATTGACTCGCCGAAACAGTTGTTTGGAGAATATTCGTTAATAAATAGTTTGGGACGTAACGCATAAAGGTTACGTCATCGCAAAAAAAACGTCAACACAAATGTACGCCTAAAACTAACAAGATTAGTTGTAAAACATGATATTTTTGAAAACATATTTCATAACATAGCTGAAGGCAAGTAAAATAATTTTTTTAATTTTCATTTGCATAAAAGGTTGAAATTTCATTAACTTACGTCATCCATCAAAAAATTTATGTTTTGCATTTAAAAACGATTAATTAAAAAATATAAATGCTTTAAAAACAGTCTTTTTGTAAAAAAATCTCTAGGATGACGCAGGAATCTGATAGAATGGGCATTTAGGGTTAAGCATTCCAAATTTCAACTATCAAGCACTGAGCTATGTTATGAAATCTTAGTTGGCCCAACTCATGTTTTGCGGAAAATATGCGAAAATTAGAAAAGTGGTTCTAAATTATTAAAAATATTTTGGCAATATTTATTTTTATACCAATTAATGTAAATATTTATTTAACAAGGAAAGATAGATCTTTTATATTTTTTTAAATGCAAGATGAAAGCATTTATATAAAAAAGTTACTATTAGTTTAAAGTTTGTGAATTTTTATACTTTTTATGCGGAAATACTTTTTTTTTTGATAAACTCATGACGTCACGCTCGTTTTTATATTGAGTGAAACAGCCGTGAAAAATGAATTTTTTAATGTGATTTTCTTAAAGTCTTATGAATTTAGCCAAAACATTTTCAAATAAATTTTTTTATCATACAGAATAGACATCTTTGAGATTTTCTCTACTCGTTTATAAAAATAGAATATTTATTTGATATATGATATAAATATAATAGGGATTATTTTATACTTCTTGCAATTCGGCGACAATGAGAACTTTTAAGATCACGAAGAGCTTCTTCGAGAACTAATGTCAAATGTTGTAAGTTCACTGGATCTGTTTTTAAAATCTTTGCTTCTGTCATATTCATACTATCACTTGTAAATAATTTGAGCAAAATCTCAGGAGTTGTTTGCTGTTTAAGCATTCGACTTGATATAACTATGTCAAAACGCCATTCAAGATTTGTATATCTTGGTAAACCAATCGACATATCACGTAATATATTTCGTATATCATTTTTGTTTGTTAAATAAGATTCTACAAAAAACTCAAGTAAATCTTCTGAAAAGTCAATATCCTTTAATGAATCTCTAATATCAATTTCATCTAAATCTAGTTTGGCAGATTCATTTAATACGTGCATAATTGCTTCAACGCTTTTACGAATTTGATCTGACTGTATGTTCAGTTTTTGTGCAGCTAATATATACTTTTTTGGGTTTGTACCTTCTTTCAAAAAATCCAGAGCAATCTTGCAAAACTCTTTTGCAATGCCTTCGTCAACTTGTTTAAGCAAAGATAACTGTTCTTTCTGCTGGTCATTCAAAAAAAACATTTTTTTTTTTTTTTTAAATCTAAAAATAAAAAATTTTATGTTTTGTAATAGTACCAGTATTTCGTCGATATCGAAACTATAAAACTAAGTATAAGCAATTTTAAAAGATTTTTACGGAGGCATAAAAATCTATTTTAAAAACAATTTTTATTTGTTTGACACAAAATTTTTTTAATAAAAACATTAAATATACTTTTTATTAAAATTTTCAAAAATTGCTCACACAAGGTTTTGAAAAGTCACCGATATAGACATAAATACGCAGTAGTTATATGTACATACACATATATATAGATTAAAAGAAGCGTTATAATGCTTCTTATAATCCAATCCCAATAAAATATTCTGTATTAAAAAAAAAATACATGTATTAGCTGCCGCAAAGGAGTACTTCTACATAGAGTAAGGGACAGCAATCTTTTCTTTCATTAATCTTCGTTTTTTTTTCTTTTAAAATGAAATCAAGAAATTGCGTCCTTAGATATGAATTGTTCGTGTGTGTGTGTGTGTGTGTGTGTGTGTGTGTGTGTGTGTGTGTGTGTGTGTGTGTGTGTCTATATATATATATATATATATATATATATATATATATATATATATATATATATATATATATATATATATATATATATATATATATATATATATATATATATATATATATATACACATATACACAAACACTTATGCAGATTATTTCATTGGGATGATAAGAAGCTGAATAAAACACTATTTTAACCTAAACATATATAACATAAATGGCATAAAGAACATCACCAGTAAAAAAAAAATTAACTGTTTTATATTAAAGTTACATGTGTACTAAATATATTAAAACATTTATTACAGTTTAAACTTAGTTGTGAAATTTGAATTTAACACAACTTTGTTGAAGCATTCATTCTTCTGAATAACTATTAAGATAACAAAATGTCAATAAATTTATATAACAGAAAAAAAAATTCAATAAACATGTGTATTTACAATTATTTACAAAAATCAAATATTACAGAGTACGTACTTTTCAATTTCAAACCGAATATATGTTGCTATAAAAATTTTGAGATATATTACAAATTGCCATAAAAATTACAGAATATATTACAGTTGTCTTAAAAATTTTAAAACTTTCAAATAAAAGTTAAAAACGGAACAGAACAGTTTCTTTAACATTTACTATAAGTTTCTTTAATCCATGCTCTTAAACCTTTGAAATGATCTTCTTCAGCAAAATCGCAGAAATTATGAAAACTTCCACTCAATCCTGTTTTTAAGACACATAGAAAGTTTTGTTTGCAAAGTCCTGTGCATGTATCTTTAATGTGTTGTTTGTAGAAAGCTCTAAAAGCAAAAAATGCCAAGTTCTAATATTTTTAAATTTATGAGTTTTAATATATCAAAATATAATAAGTTCTAATATATTAAACATAAACATATCAAAAAAAAGGGAAAAAAATTTCATCAAAAGAAGTCTTAGCATAAGATTTTTTTCCTTTTTTTTAGTTTTAAAATTTCAATTAATTGTTATTAATTTTATTTATTTGTTACGATTTATACCTGAGTTAAACTATTAAAAAAAAATAAACCTGTAAAATTTATTAAAAAGATTATCATCCTTCTCCATTTTAAATATCAATTCATTCCATGATGAAACTGATAGATCTTTCATTGGGTACATACTCTAAAAAAATTATATCATTCCTAAACAATTACAACAATATTCCAACTAAATCTTTGTTACAAATAATTAAATAAAATACCAGAGCAGAATACTCCAGCTGCCACAGAGGTATATCCGCAACTTCACTAGCATCTAGATGTGTCACTGATAAGTCAAAAAAATATGTCTGATGGTCCACGACATGCTTAAAAAAAAGTTATGAAAAAAAATTAGAAAAAAACTCTGTATCATTTTCACAGAAATGAGCTATATATATATTACCCATGAGCTGTTGCTATTGGTCCCATCAATATGGTAGACTCGGTATCCAGGATTTAAATCATTATAAGTGGTTACACTTGGTGCAATATATGCAATACTGTAAATTAGTAATAAATTTATAACTTATTTTTTATATTATATTTTAATAACAATGATAATGTTTTCATACATAAAAACAAATCACCATAATTTTAAATATATTTTAAAGTTATTAATACTATAACACAATTATACTTTATACATAATGTGTTTATACATACTTAATTGGGACAGTATAAGTTTTCATATCATAGAAGATAATAAACTCATCATGATGAGTGTGACCAAAGAACTGGGCTTTAATAATTTCGTGATAACGATTAATAATTCGATAATAATTGTAGCTCCACCATTTAAGTAAACTGTTAGGAGGCATATGTCCAATGATATGAACCTATTAAATAAAAACAGAAAAAATAGACCACACACTGTAAATACAGAGCATATGCTGTTAGTGTAGAGGATATGCTGATGGAATTAAATTTAATCTTGATAGATGCCTAGTTTGATAAGTCTAGGATTAATCCAGGGCTAAAACCTTTTTAACTTCAATTAAACATTTTTTTAAATATAATTTTTTTACAAATAATATTACTAGATATTTAAATTTGAAAACTAAATGTATACTTTGCTGAAAAAATATCTGAAAATTTCTTTTCCATTGCATTTTACATTTTATATGTTAAATATCAAGATGATCCAATCTTATTATAAAACTCTTTAAACAAAACTAATGCAACTAAACATGGCACAAAGTTTCAAAAATCATTTTAATGATGCATTAAAACATTGCAACAGGAAAAAATGATAGCAACAGTTTAAATGATAGCAACAGTTTATTTGATTGCAGTTGTATTAGTTGTATAATAAAACAATATTTTTACAATTATCAAAAAGAAAAGTATCTAACATTGCTATACCAAAAAGTAACTAATATTTCTCACTCTTATAGCCCATTTTTTACATTTATTTTTCATAAGAAACTGAATATGAATTTACAAGATAAAAGTCAAGTGTCACTCTCATGGTTTTAAGTGTCACTTTCATGGTTTCAAGTGTCACTCTCATGGTTTCAAGTGTCATTCTCATGGTTTCAAGTGTCACTCTCATGGTTTCAAGTGTCACTCTCATGATTTTAAGTGTCACTTTCATGGTTTCAAGTGTCACTCTCATGGTTTCAAGTGTCACTCTCATGGCTTCAAGTGTCACTCTCATGGTTTTAAGTGTCACTCTCATGGTTTCAAGTTTCACTCTCATGGTTTTTTCTTCGTACAGGTGCTATTTCTAATCACATTCTTTTATCTTTTCCACAAAAAAAAAATATATTTTTGTTATTGTGAAAAATCAGTGCAAAATAAATTGTTTGACCTGATGTCATTACCTTTATTTTTAAAAATGTCTTTTACCTTTTCAACTAAAGTATAAAGAGCAGCAAAGTGTGATGATGATAAGATGTGAGATGTGAAAAAATCTTGCATGTATAAACAATTATGTATAAAAACAACTTTTTTTGTACAATTTATAAGTAATGGGTTCACAAAGGATGTTTTGGTATAAAAGATCCACCTAATATTATTAAATTTGAGTGTAAAAAATGTACTTTTAGTAAATACCTAAAAATGCCTCGTTTACTCAATTTTTTTATTTCTAAAAACAGAGGTTGAAAAAAATGAGTTAAAGTGGCATCAAGGGCAAGAGTGAGATATTCCGGAGCAAAGTTCAGAGAATGATCTCCACTTCATGACAACAATAGGTATATTATTAATTAAAAGGAAAATTATGTACCACATGTGTCTAGAGCTTTATGGTGTATGGCAGTAAAATACAAACAATAAAGGATGATAATACGTAGTGTCTGGAAAAAAAACCCAGTGACAATCAGATAGATATTTGATGTGACTTTTAAAAGTTTTGTAATATAATTTGTAAATAATAGTAATAAATAATAAAAATGATTAACCAGTTAACCATGACAACTGGGTCCCAGCTGGGATGTAACTGGATTACTGGAACTGAGTTATGGCTGGGATTTGAACTGGGTAAAAGGTGGGTCCCATATGGTGCAATGATTGCAGCAGAAATTATCCTTGAAAATATGATAAAATCTTTTAAAATGACATAAACAGTAACACAACTTGATTTGAATTGAATATACGCTTGCATTTTGAGTGAGCAGGAACTTAATTTGGTTCATTTTTAGTTATTTTATAAAAAATATTTATATACATTTCAATTTAAATTCTATAATAAAAGTATAAATATTTTAATAGCAATATTTAGACATTTATTTAATAAACGATTTTACAAAAAAAAAAAAAAAATGTTACATACTCTTAAACTTCTTAAATGCTCTAAATGTCAACGTTTACTTATTCACAGCCTTGTAAAATGTTTTATCAAACTGAAAGCATATTTTTTATTTTTTTATGTGATAGACAAATGTTGGAAATTTTTCAAATTAGTTTATATGGTTTGGTGGTTTTATATGGTTTCACTAAGTTAAGAAAACGAAATACACAGTAACTTAGCTATATATTATTATAATTATATAAGTTATATATTATTATACTTAGCATACAAATAAGTTAGTGTGTTTCGTTTTAAATTATCTTTTTTAAGCAAATCTCAACAAAATATGGTAAGGTTTTACTAAATAACACTGCTATATCTAAACTTTACATATTATTTATGAATACATAATTGTTTTACATTTTCTATAAGTTATATAATTAATAATATATTACTTATATTATAAATACTGTAACGGATATAATAAGTTATAATATAAGGTTTTATATGAAAAAATGTCTAAATGGTATTTTGAATTATTTGTAAATAATAGTAAAACAAAAATTGTTAGGTGTTTTAATGTTTAACTTTATTTGTCTGTAATAATAAAAAAATTATTATATTTTGTTTGAATATAATTATTTATTAAATACATTTTTAAAATTTTTTAAAATATAAAAGTGTATATATTTTAATAGATGAGTTTCAAATGTTTACATTCTTGTTTTCAAAAAAAGATGCGCGCGCACAATTTTAGGTAGAAAAACAAATAATCGGAATTTTTCCAGTAAAAACATTTAGATATTTGTGTATTATATTTACTCACTGATTCTTATTTACTCACTGATTCTTATTTACCCACTGATTCACTGATTTAACAAGAAATAAATTATTATAACTAGTTTTTGTGCAGTTAGTTACTCAAACAAATTTAGAAATGAATGTGGATTGAAGTTTTATAAATTTCCATCAGGAAAATCGCCTTTTGAGAAAAGAAGACGTATAGACTGGATTAAAGCTATTAATCATAAGTATTGGGACAGTTAGGAAAGTGTAAAAATTAGTAAAGAACGAGTATGCAGTGCAAATTTTGTATCAGGTACATTCTTTGATGAATGATGTTAGCTAATAAAACTATATACGTAGTAATATGTTGAACAAGTTTCTTTAAATTAGTAATATATAATATTTGGTACATACATTAATTTAATTAAATAACGTCAATTGTAAAAAAAACTTATTATATTTCAGGAAAACGTTCTGATGACACATCTGACATTGACTGCAGTCCATCTGTATTTTTATGCGGTAGTGGTGTAGTGGTCAAACACTCGCTTCATAAGCGAGAGGTTCCCAGTTTGATCCCCAGCATGTCCCTGGTAGTACCGCGCTCAACTTGTTTCTCTGCGCAGCAGCCTTGTTTGTCAAGGTTCAAGTTTCGGAGTTATAGAGTTGAGAGAGGGTTATAACCACTATTAAGTAGCCTCCTTGTCTGTAGTGGCCTTCTCGGCCTTGAGGAAGTGAATAAAAAAAAAAAAAAAAAAAAAAAAAAGGAGAATTTAAACAGAGATTATGAATAGTAAGTAATAGGATATGCCAGGAAAAATTATTGGTTTGTGTTTGTATGTATACATATGCAGAGGAATAGGTATCAGCTTGTATCAGTGCCAATAAAAAAGCTAGATGTAGAAAAACTTAAAGCAAATAAAAATAGTTTTTTATTTGCTTACACTTAAAAAAACTTTTTAAATGACAATTTTAAAATTTAAAAAATTCTTTTCAAACCTTTTCGTTGTTATCTTCAGCTTTTTGAAGTACATTAACTAACCAGTGCAGTTCTTCTGCAGGATCAACACTATCCAAATACAACCAAAAATTCATATCATTGCCAAAATTAGTATTCAAAGATATCAATCGAACACCTTTATCAATTAACGTAGTGTAATATCCCCCTCTATTTAAAACAATGTTAAAAAAAAAGTTATAACAAAAGGACAACAAGTAATTTTTAGGACAAAAAAAAATAACATTTTTTTGACATAACATATAATTTTTATACATCTACTAACAATTTGATTGTTTCTTTTGTATCTTCTGGCAGCCATTTTGACCAAACATCTGCCAAAGTGTCTAGCAACCATTGGCCTCCCATTTTACCTTTCACAGATGGAGGTGGAAAACTAATTAAGGAAGAAAACTTATCAAGCATTTAATTTTAATGTATAATCATAAAAAAAATAAATACAAATCTCATACTTGTCAACAGGAGAACCTTCGTGATTCCCTAAACTTGGAAACACTTTCTTACCAGGAAAGTATTTTGCAAATAAAGCAGCAGCATTTTGAATAGATTCTTTCTAAAATGAAAAAGTAAAACAATTTTTATTATTAAAAAATTTAAACAATGACCAAAAAAATTGCATAAAGAATAAATCTATTATACTACTTTTTTAAGATATATTCTCCATAATACTCTTGCAAGACATCTCCCGTATACTCTTGCAAGATATCTCCCGGATATTCTTGCAGATAAAATACAAAAGTTAAATTAATAGAGTTTATTTAACTATATTAATCAATTTAAGATGAAACAGTTAAATTTATTAACCCTTTCAGTTCCAGTGACCCGCTATGCAGGTTATGATATTTTTTAGTAAAAATATCATAACCTGCATTCTAAAAACAGCATTTGATCACGTAACCGAGACTAAAAAAAGATAGACCTTTGAAAAAATAGTTTGGAGGCCGTTTTTTGGACAAACAAAATAAGCTCTCATTTGTGAAATTCTAAAAAATATTTTTTATTTTGTAGCTTTTTATTTTGTAGCTGTGACTCAAAGGATTAATACAATAGAATATTGTATTAACCCTTTTTGCATTCAGACAAAACATTTAAATTCATTTGCATTCATGCAAAAAAAAAAATTTCTTCTTTCAATTCTCCATTACACTCTATTATTCTCAGTTTAATAAATCTCGTATCTTACCTCAGAAGTTAAACTCGAGAGAATTTTGGAAAACCTTCAACAGTGTCATTAACTTAGGTAGGTCAACATTCCATGTCTAACTCATGGGTCTGATTTTATTACCGCTCCCAAGGATAAGGCGAAAGTGTTTGCAAAGAACTTTTCTTTAAATTCAACTTTTGAAATTAATTTTCGTACTATTCATGCCATTCCATTTAAATAGGTCAACCCAATGTTAGACATCTAAATCACTTGACTATGCTGCTAAAATCATTTTTCAATTGAACTCTTCTATGGTTTAAACAAAAGTCAATTCCATCTCTCATTCATAGGACTGATCTTATCCTCTGTCAAGGAAAAGACAGAACTATTTGCAAAGAACTTTTCTTCTAATTCGACTCTCGAATCTTATGGCCCTTCTCTTCCTTCCATTCCAATTAAACAGGTTAACCTCTTGTTAGACATCCAAATTACTCCAGCTTCGATTGCTAAAGTCATATCTTGATTATACTCTTCTACGACTTGTGGTCCAGACAACATTTCTGTCATAATCTTACAAATTTCATTCCGACTAAATTGGTATGACCAATTATCAATTATCTTCCAATCAGTCTTCTTTCAGTTACTAGCAAGGTCTTTGAATCTTTGATAAACAAATTTCTCACACCCCATTTTGAGTCAAATAACTTGCTGTCAGACAACCAATACGGTTTTTGATCCTGTACAGCTGACTTGCTAATTGCTGTGATTGAAAGATTTTATTATGTATTAGATAAAGACAGAGAGGCTACAGCTATTGCTCTTGACATATCTAAGGCTTTTGAAAAAAGTTTGGCATGCTGGTCTTATCCATAAACTTGTTTCATATGGTGTATATGAGAAAGTTTTTGAGATTATCAAATCGTTTCTTTTTAACTGCTTTATTAAAGTCATCCTCGAAGGCCAACACTCTTCTGTATTTCCAATAACTTCTGGGGTACCTCAGGGTTCTACTTTTGGTCCTGTTTTGTTTTTTATCTACATCAATGATCTTCCTGACAACCTTACATCTAAAGTAGTTCTTTTTACTGATGACTCAACTTTATACTCCTATCTTGACAAAAAGTTTTGAATTATTGTTTACCTTTCATGGAAACCATATATACAATCAATTGCTAAATTAGCATCTGCTAAGGTTACTTCTCTTTATCGTGGTCGCCATTTTCTCTCTCCTGATTCCATTCAGTACATGTTATTCCTCCCTGTGTGGAATACTGTTTTCATAATTGAGCTGGTTCTTCTAATGATGCTCTTTCTCTTCTAGACAAGGTCCAAAAAAGCATTGTAAATGTATTAGGATCCGCTCTATCTGTAAGTTGAGCCTCTTTCCCATCATTGTAAAGTTGCATCTCTTTCTCTTTTCTACAAATATTATCAAGGTCTCTGCTCAAAAAAGTAAAACTCGATCTCGCTTGACTCCTCATTCAGCAAAGTCTCATTCTTTTACTGTATCTGTCTCTGCATGCTCTAAAAACTTTTATTTGTCTAGTTTTTTTCCCCCCCCCCCACTTCAACCCTTTGGAACTCTCTCTCATCTTTATGTTTTCCTGACTCATACAACTTTCTCATACAACTTTTTAAGTCTTCTGTCAACCGTTTCCATACTCTATTCTTTTTTTCTAGTAACCCCTAAGTTAATAGTGGTCGCTTGCAGCCTTGTTGGGAGTGAATAAGAATTTAAAACAAAAAAAAAATTTGATAGATTTAATTGTTAAAACCTTTTAGAAAAGTAAAGTCTTTTATAAACGTCTTTTTGCAAATATTTTGACCAAATAAATGTTTTAATGTTAGAATTACAACCTAAGGTAAAGCATTGATTCGTTTTCACGAATCAATGCTTGTTGGTTATATTTTATTATACAAAACACTTATGTACTAGCACTCAAAGTTGAACCCTTAGATCAGACAGTAAAGAATTTATATAAAAATTTATAATTTTCAGTATATATTAAAATGTTGATAATTTTTAGAATAAAGTAAAAAAATATTTTTACTTCTAAAAGGCCCATCTAAAATAAATGGTTTAAGACACATGTGGGATCGAACCATAGCCATTGGGGCCAGCACACCACTGCAGAAATCATCAACAATAATCTCCATTGCTAATCTTCAATACCACCAAATGAAAAAAAAAAATTGAACACAAAACTAGGTCAAGTTTACTCCAAAGTAAAATGTAAGAAGCAAGATAAGAATGTGCTGTTTGTGAAAGTAGACCTTTATGTGTAGACTAATGTTTCAAAATGTATTAAGTAAAAGAATAGATTGCTATACTTTAAACAAAAGCAGACTACAACAATAAATATACTTTACTTTTATCTGTTTTAAGCTTTTTGTATCTTTTATCTGCATATAAAGACTCAGGTTTTCAGAGTACAAGCTTTTATGTTATATTATCATAAAAATCATTTGTAAAACCAACACAAAAGATTTTATATGAATTAATGTAGCTAATCAGATTCAATTATGCTTTAAAATAATCTGTTGGAACTAAAGAATTACTTCTAGTTGAAAAAAGACTGGTGACTGGTTATTGTAAGTATACATGTTGACAAGTAAAATATACTTATTAGGAGTATATTTGAAGTTGGCAGCTAACAGGTTAACTAATTTAGCAATTTTTTGAATGTTAACCATTTTACAAATAAAAAGAAAAAAAAGTTACCATTGAAATAGCTAAAAACATTTCAGTTAGGTGTAATGCAGTTTAGTTTGGTACTGCTACGTAGGTTTAATGTTATTTCTAGATGTTTACAACCACTTGATGTAAATAAGAAAGTAGCTTACTTTATGTACTTTCTAACCATCTACAACCACTTAACACATAAAAAATCTAAGGACAAAAAAAAAATTTAAATCCAATCTCATTCTTTACTAATGTAAAGAAAACAATTTAGTCACAATTTTTTTTTTTTAAACTCCCCCTCTTTATTACCACCTTTTTACTAATGCCCACTTTACATAAACCCACTTATGACTTAGCGGTGAAGCCATAAATATAAAACTTTTCAAAATTTCAAAATCAAGATTATTTGTTTTTGAACAAGAGAAGACTAAAATTCTCTTGTTCAAATAAATTTCTTTTTAAAATGAATTCTTATAAAAACCTTTGTAGGAATTCGTATTTATAGAAAATGTTTAATATCACTATAAATAAAATAATATCACTAAAAACAAAATGGCATTTTTTTTTTTCATATTCTTATTGAAATTTTTTTGGTAAAATAATTTTTAATTAAAAGCTTATTATGTGTTAACAATATTTAAGATATAAATTGAAACATTTCTACAACTAACTTATGCAAGTTTCTTTGAGCATATTAAGTATATTTAATATTTAAGTGACTTGGAGTAAATTAACTGGTTGTTATAGTAAACTGCATAGATGTAAAAAGCAATCACGATTCGTGATTGCGATATGGTTAATACAAGCCCTGTAACCACATGAATTTAATTTTCTTTCTTTGTGCCTTCAACTAAGTAGATGAGTCATTTCTCAGCGGGTGTAACTAAAGTCCCTATTTGTTACTTGAGAAGTACATTTACCTAGGATCAATATTGCTTTTTATCTTCAGTATCTTCGAATCTAAAGTTCCAATTCTCTATTACTCTATTTATCTATCTTTCTGTTGTTTTGAATGTAAAAAGCATCTATTCTGTTGATATATTTTCTCTTGTAGCAAAAAATACAACTAAAAATCTATCATTACTTCATGTAAAAAAAAAGTTAAAACAAACCTTGCATAAAAGTATTAAAGCATTCAAAAAATTAATATATAAAAAATAAAGTGCAAAAAAATGGAGTAAAAAAAATATTATATTTACTTGGTCATCTCTTGATTGATCCCATACATTATGTGGTGGAACATCTCCTGTCCATATAATGTAATCAACCTTCAAACAAAAAAGACAATATATATATATATATATATATACATATATATATATATATATATATACATATATATATATATATATATATATATATATATATATATATATATATATATATATATATATATATATATATATATATATATATATATACATATTCATATATATTTAAATAATTTTAAAATAGAGTGCTTAATGTTCTTAGAAGAACAGAGCAATTATAAAGTTGATATATATTCATATATATATGTATGTATGTAAATGCATGAATTTCTTATAGTCTGCTGCTGTAAATGAGTCCCGCTACATCGACTGAGGGTTCGGCATGGGACAGCAGTCTTTTCTTTTATTATTATTCATTTTTTTCTTCTTTTTCTGAAAAAACTGTATGCTAAGTAAATAAGCATATGCTGATTTATATATGCTATAGTTGATATACATATAACTTATAAATGTAATATATATATCTACAATTTATATCTTTAATATATATAACAGGTGATAACTAAAAAATGAGAATTTTCATATCGGGCTATAATAAAAACAAATGTTTAGAAAATGAAAATTATATTTATTTTAATTGAAGGTACATCACTTATCTTTAAGAAAAAATCAATATCAATAAAAAATAATCATCAATAGTTCGACATTGTACAGCATTTATATCGATTTGACAAATGTATCTTTTCATTCGAGAAATCAATTGTTTGCAATTCTTAGCTCTCCAGTTGTTTTTGTATACTAACGAACACAAATATCAAAAGAAATATTTAATTGGGAGACACTGAGGCAAGTTTGTTGGATTGCAGTTTTTTGGTACATATGGGATGTTTTGGCATTCCAAGAAGACTTGGCATAATGTGATGGTGCTTATCCGGCCAAACCAAGTAATTGCCATCTGAATGATATTTTTGGAGAAATGGAATCAATATTTTCTTCAAACATTGATTTTGATACACTTCTTGATTAATGACCAAACCACTTGGCGTAAACAATGGCTTAGAAATTCACCTCTCAGATATGGCAATGTACAGCATCACTTTCTGCTCAAACATGTGTTTATATTTCTATTTTACTTTTGTAGGTGTTGTAGAACCTTTATCTGCATAATATCGATCATTTCCTAAAACTTGCATTTTGGAGAGGGGGAATTAACTGTCATCATTCAAAACAAAACATTTTCCAGAGTAATTTCGTGTCATCTAGCAGCATTGAGATTCCACGGTTGATATTTTTTGCTCAGTGTATTCCAGTATTCTTGTTTTTTTTCGGCAGATTATTCCTTGTTTTTTCAACGATTTGCAGATATAAAGCTGTGTACACCTAAACTTTTCTGCAGCATCTTGTTGACTTATTGAATCATTGTTGTTGAAAGCACTGTGAAGCAAATGAAGTCCCTTCTTGTTCATCATTTTAGTTGGTCTTCCACTACCACTTTTACAATTGGTTGTTAAGGATGCCAAAATACTGTAAATAGTTGAAAGTGGAACATTTTTTGGTTTATAATGATTCACAGTAAACTTTTTTCCAATATTTTTGTGCATTTGATAGAGCTGTACAATGCACTTGCATAGTACATCTTGTTTTGATGGCATTTTAAAAACAACTGAATTAGCTGATGCAAAACAAAACATATGATAAGTTTGTAAACAGAGAGTATAGTTTCACATAAGAGTACTTTTCTTTTTTGACTTTTGCGTATTTTTTAGTTATCACCCGTTATCAAATTTTCAAATGTTATATATAAGTTTTTTTTATGTAGGTTTTTATGTAACTTTATTTACTTATATAAACATGTATTTTGTTTTATGATTAATGGAAAAGTTTTAAAGCATTTTGTAATGTTCATGCGATTAATTTTTATGATTAAACTTACCATTTTTTAAAATGTTGTAAATAAACATTTTAGTTTTTGTAAACATTTTATTATTATTATTTTTTTTTTCAATTTCGTTAGAAATAAATGAGTTTAAATCTTTATTAATAAAGTTGTAATGATCAAATTAAAATTAAATTAAAATGCATATTGGCAGTTTATTTTATTTAAATCGCAGGCGCATTTTATTTTATTTTTTCTTTCTATTTTTACGAATAAAAAAGTTTAAAACCTTTTTTTTAAATTTATATATATATATAAAACCTTTTTTTTAATATATATATATATATATATATATATATATATATATATATATATATATATATATATATATATATATATATATATATATATATATATATATATACACATACATACATATACACAAATAATAAATAGCTAAGAACATAAATATTCATGAGTAATAATAAAATAAAAATAGCAATAGGCAAAGACTTAATTACATATATTAACTAAGAGTTTGAATATAAACAGCCATTATGTTTGTAATATAAAAGTAAAACAATAAACAAAGTGTATTTTCAGTACTTTAATATTCATCCTTTTCTGAAAAACTATACCAACGTTACCAAAACAAAACACAACAACAACAACAACAACAAAAAACAAGCCCATAAAAAATAGTCAAATGCTGATTTCACAACAAAGAGTTAAATTGATTTACAGTATATATGTGTGTATAAAAGTATATGCTCATGTACAAGTATATACTCATGCTAAACATGTGACTATAAAGTCTTATCGATTCAAAAGATATTAGTTATCAATACTGAGATCTAAAGATGAAACAACAGAATATAAACTAGTCACACAAAACAGCAAGTAGGTCTGGTCTGTAAATTTTACAAAACGTTAAACAAATGAAATGTTACAAGAAGTAAAATTAAATAGATAAAAAGATCAAGAATACAGGCAAATGTTAAATAGAAACAATTTGATAGTAACATTGGTTTTTAAGTTAAGTATTTTTAGGTGGTCAATCATGAATAATGCATGGCATCCTCAGAAATAGGCTATGCTGTTAAGCTCAGTCCTGTTATTCAATCCATAATCATAACTAAGGGCTCCATGTGTTGCCTCGAATGAACAAAAAAAAAAGTACTAATAAGGATACCAACCATTTGAACTAAATAATAAAAACTTAATATTTAAATAATAAAAACCTAGTATTTTAGAATTTGCTTCTCTGAAAGCTACCACAAAGTTTGTGAAACTATATTACAAGCCAGCCTAAAAACCATAAAACTGAGTTTTAAAGCTGTATGCACTAAAACTCAGTTTTATAGATTGTGCCAAGAAGACACATAAGTAGAATTAAGATTAGTCAAGTGTTCACCATCATCACCATATTTAATAAAGCTGACCTATTTAATAAATTTAATAAAGCTAAATATAATAAAACTGGTCTGTAATTTTTTGGATTTAGCTTTTTAAGTGTTTTTGCACGAAAGAAAAATATTTGCATTTCATTACTTTATTCATTTGCATTATTTTGATATTTCAGTTAGTTTTACTATATATTTTTTATATGATATAAAATTTGAATTAAAGGTTTATTATAATCCCATGTTAAATCCCATGCTCCCTTTTCATTTTAACCAGGTCAGAAATTAGTGATATTCAGTAAAAAAAATTTCAAAATGCTTTAGTAAACCTAAAACAATTGCTTAATTGACTTGAATGCATACAAAAGATAAATAATAGAAATATGAAAATCAAAACACAAAAAACACATACATAACAAAAGTATAAAAATTATTTTAAAATAATGAAGAAACTTCACATACATCTTTATGAACAGTTGCCATATGTTCAAACATACTATTTACCATTAATACATTAGAGTCACAATATCCTGCATAACCCCACTTTGGAGCACTGGTTTCATTAACTCCTTAAAAAAAAAATTAACATCTGATATAAAATTTAAAGAAACTTATAAATATGCAGAATATATAAAAAGTTTAACCATGAGCCTAAAGTTAACAGTGTTATTCTGCAGCCATTTTTCAAAGTGTTTTAAGATACTTTATATGTACTTTGAGAAAAACTCAAAAAAAAATTATTAGGAGAAACTCTTTGTAAAACATTTTTTGAAACTTTTACAAAAAAATTTTGAAATTTTTACAAATTGTTTTCATAATTCTTCAAAAATAATAATTCAATATCGTTTGTAGGCATCTAAATTAGCTAATTTTGTATAAAAGTCATATTTGATTTTTTTTTCTTAGGCGTTTTGAAAAATGACTACAGTATTGTTAAAGTAACTGGTTTCCACAAACTGCTTCATAGAAAAATTGATGTATTTCAATTTTGTTTATTTAACAACTATTTACTCATCTTTAATATTTGTCAAGTATTTTAAAGTAAACACCATAAGTAAATTTAATTTTCAAACTACATTAAAATGTATTAGAATAATATAACTGCAACAATATATATATATATATATATATATATATATATATATATATATATATATATATATATATATATATATATATATATAAGCCATTCCAGGAAGCGTGCGCGCTTACACATCTTGTGCATCAACATTTAAAATAATTTTTTTAGACACGCTGACCATGGCAGTTCGCATCTTTTAACTTTTAATGCATTTCAATAATTCGTAGCAAAAAGCTAAACTTATCTACAGAGAAAAAAATAATTCTAAAAAAAAAGAAACAAAATTGTAACAAAATATCAAATTTTAAATAAACTAGAAAAAAAAATTTTTTTTTAAAGGGTGGTTGTTATTTTTTTAAAGGGACTACCAAGTCCTGAGACATGTTGTGTTCATATTAAAGAGAATGTTAAAAAAAAAACGTCTGAGCAAATTTTTTTTGATTAAAACTAATTAATAAATACCAAGAAAGTATACCAAGAAAAACAAATCTTGTTGTTTTAGTCGAAGCTCATCTTCTCCGTTTTCTGTGGTACTTTAAGTATGTAAAATAAACGCGATTTTCCAGGCGCATTATACAGACTTGATAATTTATTCAAGCGCGTTTAATTCATAGAAGTTTTAAAGCATGACGTCATTGGAAACATTCTAGAAATTCTTTAAAAATTTTACTATCAAATTTTACTCAAATAGCTAACTATAGTTGCTTATTTTATTAAAAGTTTATTTTATTAATTATTCGTTAGTTTTTTACAAATCTAATGAACAATTAATTAAACGAAGCACTAAGAAAAGATAAAAATTAAGAATATACTAATAAAATATATAATTTGTAATTAACTTTCAAAATTTTGACAATTTAAAAAATATATATTATAAAACATTTATTTTTGTAAACAAATGATAATAGTTTAAAAGTTTTATGGCTTTACAGACGTGGCTCCGAGAATGAGCCATAATATTAAAGTAATAGTTCATTTGATAATATATTCTTAAAAAATTTTATGCTAGGTATCTCAAAACGCAACAAATCGTAAATAATACAATTCCTAAAACATTTCAACAGAATACTCTAGAACTTTATTTCGCTTAGTCAGCATGTTTTTTGAACCAATAGAATTTGTTTGTTCTCAAAATTGGCGGGTTTTTAGTGTTCGCAAATATAAATAAAAAATACAAAGTAAATTAATAAAAGTGCATTATTATTTAGGTTAAAAATTATTTTAACTAATATTTTGAAAGAAAAACTTATAACAAAAGAAATCAAAATACACGTGGTCTAGACGATTATTTAAAAAAAGTTGCGCAAATAAAATACTATTTTGTTTTTTATTTAATTTTTGTTTTTAATTTAATTTTGTTTTTAATTTTGTTTTACAAACACATTTTAGAACTTTAAAATATAATAAAAATGAATATGATTTGGAAATTGTATGTAAAAAATAACAATCAGTGTTTTAAACAAAAAAAAAAAAACATGACATCATGCTCTAAAACTATTATGAATTAAATGCGCTTGAATAAATTATCAAGTCTGTATAATGCGCCTGGAAAGTCGCGTTTGTTTTACATACTCAAAATACCGCAGAAAACGGAGAAGAGGAGCTTCGACTAAAACAACAAGATTTGTTTTTCTTGATATACATTTATTAATTAGTTTAAATCAAAACAAATTTTCTCAGACGTTTTTTTTTTAACATTCTCTTTATTATGAACACAACATGTCTCGGGACTTGGTAGTCCCTTTAAAGGGTGGTTGTTATTTTTTTAAAGGGTGGTTGTTATTTTTAGCTAATGAATTTAATACAAGTAGAAGATCTTAAGCTTCTTTATACAGCGATTTTTATTAAACTAAACACGCTGTTTTAATTTTTGAATTAAATTTATGCTTTGCAAGGGAAAACTTTTTTGTTTATTAGTGAAATTTAGCATTGTGTAATTTAATCTGTTCAAATAATAAATTATATAAGGCATTACAAGTTCAGTTACTACACAACCATTTAATGTCAAACAAAAATCCTACTGCAACCAAAATATCAAGAGACATATGGAAAAAAAATTTGATTCACTTTGAGAAAAGTAAAATATTATGCAAGAGTAAATCTCAAGAATCATTAGGAACAATATGTAAAATGCCAACAAATTGGCAAATAATTAACCGATACACCAGCTTGGCATCAGACTAAAAATGTGAAAGGACAAATGAAGAAAATTTCAAATGAATTTTTAGAACTATGAGCTAATTTGAATTTTCCAATAATAGACAAAAGATCAGTGCCAAGAATATTAATAATTAAGAGACAAATAGAAATCAAAAAACCAGGTACTGTATTTTGAAGATAAAATCTTTATTTAAACCAATTAAAGACATCTGGTAGAGTGGGATATACTATAATGAAGCCTGATGATCCTTAAAAAATACATTTTTCAAAGAAAATTAAAATTAGAAATATTCAATCAATGCCATCAACTTCAATTCTGAATGAATACAGAGAGGAATACAAAACTCGTAATGAGTCAGTAAGTGACAGTGGCAGTGATTATGAACCTTCAATAAAATCAATAAACGAAAAACTAAACAGAGGACAGTCAAGGATGTTAAATTGGTTTGTCAAGCAAAGCTAAGTATATGAAAAGCTGCCAGTGTTTCACTGTGGTGCTTTTCATATGTGCTGGTGTTGATCTTCCTGCATCAACTCAACCAGCAATCTATATGGCAGTGATCAGAAAAGGTAAAAAGTTACAAAATAAATTGAGAAAAGAACTGAAGGTTGAGAATTGAAGTTTGCATTTTGATGGGAAAAAGAAATCTGGGGTGGAATATCCAGTAGTTGTGATAAAGAACAAGTCAGAGACAATTTTTAAAGGACTTCGAGAACTTTAGAATGAATATGATTTATGGGGATCTATAAAAATGATTGTGACAGACACTAGAAACGTTAACACTGGGAAAAAAAGTGGCATGATAAAGAGATTAACGACACATTTTGAAAGTGTTGGATTTCAGACACCTTTCTATGTTGGTTGTCAACATCATATATTATTAGATATATATTTATTATATATGGTGTTGATCATATATTAGATTGATTATTAAAGTTATGTCTGGATGATTTTTTTGGAGGAAATACCAATTCACCTGAACTGTCATATAATTTTGCTGAAGCAATACATAGTAAATATGACTATTTAACATTGAATTTTGACAATAGTGGTATACAATTGAAGGAGTATGAACTGAAATGGAGAGATAACATGCAGTTTTTGAAGCATCTGATTAAAGTAGTGAAATACTTTTGGAATGAAAAGAAATTTCCTAAGGTTAATTTTAAAATTTTACCAAATATTAGCCAATCTATATGGAGCTCCCATATCTATATGGGCAATTTAATAATCTATATGGGTAATTTATTTATTACTTGCTTACATACTAATTCCTTCAGACAGACAACGACTTGAGATGGCATTTAAGCTTGTAGCTGGAAAAAGGGCAGATATCTGGTTTTCAAACCAAATGTTTAATCATGAAAATGGTAAAGAATTGGAGTAAGTATTAAAGATTATCCAATATATTCACAAAGTTTTGGTGTGATATTCTTTTGGCTATAAATACGCAAAGATCCAACATTTGTGCCGAACGAGCAGTAAAAGTTTGAGAAGATATCAAAAGTCTTTGCAAATCTGAAGAAACTTTGTATTTGAAATATTTAAGAAATCATGATCAAAGCAATACAAACCTTTTTAGTTAATGTAACTTTATCAATATAGTTTTTAAACATTTTTTGGCAATGCTAACCTAAAAGTGTTTGAGGTTGACAAAAAATTGCCGACCTCCTTTCTATCTTTTATGGTTAAACCTCTGTTTTAACAGAAAAAAAACAACATTAGAAGAACCAGACTAAATATGACAACAGTATTCCATACAGTGAAAAAAAATTGATTTGTAGAGGTAGAGAATGAAATCAGGAGTAAGAAAATGCTAAATGCTAACTTTGCAGTTGATTGTATAATATGGTTTATGAGAGATCTGTACTAAATGATAATATAAGAAGGAGTAAAGTAGAAGACTCAGTAAGGGGTTGCCATTAACCAATATAGAAATGATGACAATTTTGCAATAGTTATTTGCAGAGTTAAAATTCACAAGCCACTGCAAGCCCCAAGCTGTCATAGAAGAATGATCATATTCAAGATTGGCTGCCTATTCTAAGAAATTATAAAAATCAAAAATTAAAACAAGATCAAGAAAAAAACCTTGTAGTACCCCAGAATATACTGAAAATGAAAAAGAGTGTTGGCTTTTAGATGGATGATACTAATACTGCGGTTAGAAAGAAATGATACAATAATCTCAAAAAACTTTGCCAGATACACAATATGAAGAAAGCTTATAAAGAAGCCCAGCATGCCAAAGTTAAGTAATAGTGCAGCAGATTAGCATTAAAAATGACTGAAATTGGGCACAAGTGGATAAAAGCATGAAAATTTCA